CCTTCTATAACACGAGTTTTGGGCCCGTACAGTCAAAGTGTATTCCCCTTTTACATTATTGTCGTAAATATGGAAAGCTGTAACCAACACATGCATTTATTATGACAATGTTACTTATGGTCAAATGTTAATTAATAGAGGATTTTTTAGATTGAGCTTGTTGGTTTCCTGGTTCATGAAGTGGATGACTAATGCATTAAAGGTTCAATAGAGTTTAGACAGTAGCTCCTTTGAAAGTCAAACAATTACTAATTAACTCACATAAAGGAAGTTAAAGCTGCATTTCTTTCTTTGACTATTTTGTAGCAGCTTGGCTAAGATAATACTTCAAATAAATGAGATTTGTATTGTGTAAAGTTGTATTTGGTGAGTTTGTATTCACCTGATGAATGTAAGTCTTCTCTTCTTCTCTAAGTTCTGTTTTGGTCTCAACCTCTGAGAAAGATATCAGGCTTACACACTGCCAAACGCTCCACCAGCTAGTCACTTGGCCTACTTTGTCTGTCTTGTTAGCTAAAGTTAAAATGCTTGGTACAGCTGAGGGAAACTGCTATTTATGGTCACTACTAGGGATATGTTCACAAAAGTAATTGTGCATTGCAGCTGCTAAACCTGAAGAAATCAGACTAAATAAACTGTAATTCTAAGGCACCTGAAAGAGTGAGCCCTAACTGCCCTGCCAAGCAAATAGATTGCTGCTCCTCCCCCATTTGCAGATAGATTAAGTTAAATGCAGATATTTGGATACTGGAATATCATTGGTGAAATATCTATTTTGAATTGGACCTTGAGACAGGGCAGATCGAGGCTGCAATTTATGGGAAATGCATGGAGCCATCAGCTAATGCTATCCATCCTATGTGCCCCTGAGCGAGTGTGTTAAAATGTCACACATGCCATTTCAATTTAAATCCCTTTTTCTCTTTCTGCAAAATTATTTTTAATGACTCATCATCGACTGTTATAACTTAACTGCATTGATACAAATGTGATTTGTGGAAACAAACTATTACTTCCATTATGATCTTCACCATCATCCTTTCAGCCACAGTGGACAGCGTGTTAACGTCTTTGCCTGCAAAGTCACACCTTGGACAATCTGATCAAACCCTCTCAATTATACCCTGCCCACATGTTTCATTTCACTCCAAAATACATTTAATATGCTCTTCCTGCAGTTTCACTTTGATTTAAAGGTTGGGGACAGATCATGGTTATAATGGGCTGTCTCATACTGCACACCTCTGTATGTGTTGATTGTTCCGATCCAAAGTATGGCAAAATGCACTATTATTACCCGGATGTTGCTCTCATAACAGTCAACATTTTGAATGTGGAATGCTGGACACTTCTCACACTCAACAATCGCCATCTTGGCTACCAATCAAAGGTTGGGCAACCAGCTGCCGTTGCGGTTGCACAGATGAGCACAGCACTTTAGAAATAAAATGTGTATACATGTGTTTTTTTTTTACTATTAAAGTAACATGCCACTAAACTGGTGTTTAATACAACCCTCCGTTAATTTTATTGAGCTACCTGACTAACTTGGTTAGATAGCTCTTAGCTCTTAGTTAGTCAGCTCTTAGTTAGCAAGTTAGCTAGCAAGAGGGTTAGTTATCCCTTCCCGTGAGGGCACAACCCAGTCTCACGGCATTTCGTGTTATTGTCACGACATTTAATCTATTGATTCGTGTTCACCAAACATGTTCTTACAAGCCACGATTGTTGTTTTTATTTTAAATCGTATAATGTCTGACTTTTTTTGCCGTCCGCGGGGGAAGAAAATGGGGCTCAGAGCCTCAGAATACTGAAATCTGTATTTTTTAAATCTTTTTTTCCTTCTTATTTGTTATTCTTTTCTAAATAACACACTGTTATTTACTCAATAATAACACACAATTATCCTTCTTTTCATTTATTTGTTTAATTCTATTATCTCGGGCTCTTTTGGCATCCGTTAGGAACTGAATTTCATCAGGAAACAGATGTAGGCCTATAAGGGATATTTCGAGCATCATTGCGATACACACCCACTGAACTGATTACCCAGGATCCTCAGCTGTGGTTTAAGCTCGGTGATTTGGATGTTTCAGCCGCAATGCACGTTGGGATATGGTATTAATGTGATATGAAATCCGAAAAACATTTCGGAGTTTAGGATGGCCGAAGACACTACACGACCAATAATCCTCTGCTATCGTTTGGGACTACAGTCCCTTTGCTTGAAAAACCCTGTGATTAATCTTCAAGCTCTAGGATTTGGATGTTGGAGTGGCAGTGCGCCAAGGTTACGCCGAGCGTCAAACAGCTCTTTGAAATGGAACGAAACCATGGCAGACTATCCAAAACTGGACTCAAATTTAAAACATATAATTAATAAATGGGTGAACATTGCTTGTGTCCATAACCGGTGTCGGTCGTGGTAAGCGTAAAGTAATACAGACGGTTTAGAGCATGGTGGTTACTTTATTCAGGCTTGTACTCTCCATGTCATTTGGTAGTCGCATGGCCAGTCGTGTCCACATCCGGTCTCATACATCCTGTTAGCTCTATCACAATAAAAGCATAACAGCTAACACCACATCTCCCTTTCTTAAGAAAACAGAACAGACTGTCACATTTATATACTGTGACTCAGAAAATGCAAAATCAGGTGATAAACTGAAAACTCTGCAAG